CTCGCTCTTGCTCAGGCTGGTTTCAAACTCCTGAGCTCAAACAATCCGCCTGCCTCGGCCTCCCAGAGAGCTAGGATTACAAGCGTGAGCCACCGTGCCCGGCCATGAAATATATTTTTTAAAAGGCATAAATATCTACAGATGAAATACATAATACCTAGTATAATATGTAGGCCGGGTGGGTAGCTCACTTTGGGAAGCTCAGGTGGGAGTATTGCTTGAAGTCAGGAGTTCAAGATCAGCCTGGGAAAGAGGGAGACCCTGTCTCTACACAAAATAGAAAAATCAGCCAGGCATGGTGGCACACACCTATAGTTCCAGCTACTTGGGAGGCTAAGGCTGGAGGATCCCTTGAGCCCTGGAGTTTAAGATTGCAGTTAAGCTGTGACTATGTCAATGCACTCTAGCTGTAACAACAGAGTGAGACTGTCTCACAAAAAAAAAAAAGAAATATTTAATATCGAGATTGAAAAAAAACACTGAATGGGATTAACAAGAGATTAGACACAACAAATGAAACAATTAGTAAACCTGAAGACATATCCAAAATAAAACACAGAATACAGACTGAATAAAATGAACATAGTATTAGTGAGTTGTGGGACAATTTTAAATGGCCTATTATATAGGTAACTGAAATCCATGAAGGGGAGGGGACAAAAAAATTTTCCAAATTTGAGGAAAAATATAAACCCACTGATCCAGAAAGCTTAACAAACCCCAAGCACAAGAAGTATTTTAAAAGTTACAAAAGCATTTCATTGCTTAAAACCAATGATAAACAGAATTCTTTAAAGCAACCAGAGGGGAAAAATAGACACATTTGTATACAGGAAAGACAGATACAATGATGGTAGATTTCTTGTCAGGAACAATATAAGATAGAAGAAAATGGAGCAATATCTTTAAAGCATGAAAAGAATAAGTGTCAACCTAGAATTCTATGCCCTACAAAAATATCTTTAATAAAAATTAAGGCAATTCCTGAAACACAGCGACTCAGGGGAAAGAAAATAATAAAAAAAAATAAAAGACAAAAAAATAACATATTTTTTTTAAAAAGAAGGCAAAATACAGCCTTCCAGACACACACAAAACTGAAAGAATTCATCTCCAACAGACTTATGCCATAAGAAATGGCAATGGTACAGCAAAAAAGCGAAATAGAAAACAAAGAATAAATGGGACAGTGAAATCAATAGCGAGATGGTAGATGTAAACTAAACTATACCAATCATTTCATTAATGTATAGGGTGTAATGGTCTAAATACCCCAAGTAAAAGGTGGAGATCGTCAGATTGGAGAAAAACACAAGACACATAAGCCGACAAGAAATAAATAATAAATCTAAACATACAAGTTGAAAGTAAAAGGATGGAAAAAATATGCCATGTTAACA